CAAGCTATTCCAAAGACAATACATATATAGTTGTAGTTCTTGGAATTAGATAGAGGGATAAACCAATAATATACTTAGATTTTTGTTTTCTCTTAAAAATTATCTACGTCTGGTCCTATCTCAACCTTTAGAAAATTCTCATTTTCTATTGATCTATACAGCTGTAGCAACTACTCAATTGTCTCTAATTATCAAAAACAACAAGGTTTAAGTATTCATTTCATATTTTCTTGGTAACCACTGCTTTTATAACTCAATTGTAATGAATAGGCACTTGGGACCTTAATATTGAAACTTCACTGTCCTCATATATATGTGTTAAATTGGTGTAAATGAATTCAGTGATTCTGTGATGAGTCTTTTGCTTGTGTAAAAATGTCCTTTGATTCGTATCAATAATAAAATCATTAAGGAATTTGGGATTTGAATCCCTTACCAGAAATGTGTACATTTCAGGACATTTGCACATATGTAGGCTAAATATTATATCAATAGAAATATAATATAAACATAATATATATATAATATAATATAATGTAAATACAAGCTTGGCTCATATTTAAATACAGTTTTTATTTTGTGAATCTTCAGAATATAAAAATCATTGTTTCCATTCCCACTTAAATTAAGTTCTACTCTTTTCCTTTTTTTGACGGATTTTTTACAAAGATATTCTAAAATGTAAGTGCATCTAGATTGCTAAAGCTTGTAGAGAAGATAGTAGTTGCTTTTCAGTCACAGTTGTCTCATTCTATTATATTTGTTTGCAAAATATTTGTTCTAAAGATTTTTATTGAGAGAGAGAGAGAGAGTGAGAGAGAGCATGAGAGGGGGGAGGGCCAGAGGGAGAAGCAGACTCCCCGCTGAGGAGGGAGCCCAATGAGGGACTCGATCCTGGGACCCCGGGATCATGACCTGAGCCGAAGGCAGTTGCTCAACCAAATGAGCCACCCAGGCGCCCTGCAAAATATTTTAATGAATGATATCTGATATATGCATATGCTCAGCGTACCTCCTTACCTTGAATCCAGGGCTAAATTAAAGTTCTAGTTCTTCTTGGATTGTATTGGAGTTGAGGTTAGTATTATATTGCTTTTGCTTTCTCTCTGATCTTGCATTGCTTCTTCCCATGAGAACTCTAAAATTATCTCACAAAGGGACAATGAGGAGCAATGGGAAAAACATCTTATCCTTTATGACAGTAACCTCTCAGTCTGTGGTTTTTGAACTGTGGGTTACAGCCTGTTAATCAGTCCTGAAATCAATTTGGTGGGGGATGTCCAGCATCTGTATTAATAAAATTGTGTAAGAAAAAGATATCAGAATGCCTCAGAAGTAATAGAGCTAAATATTTTTCTGTTAAACTTTTGTTTCACCATGTGTGTGGGCGGGGGCGGCGGCGGGGGGGACGTGCGTGCGTGTGTGCCCTAGACTGTATAAAAAGTGTGGATTAAATTAGGTTAGGATTAATCAGAAAACCATGGTCTAATCACAGAGTTATAGTGAATATATTACTCTGGCCACAACAAACACATTCATAAAAACATACTGGAATTTTCTTACAATTTGTTCAAAGTAGGCACCAACACACCATAAATAAAAATTAGGATAGCCAGTCACTCCATCCTCACTGTCACACGGTTTATGGGTGACTGTGTGAAATTCCTGGCCCAATGAGGACACCATGACTATGGAAACTACATAGCGTACTGAGCGAGCAAACTCTGTGGAAGAGAGGAGAGCGCAGGTGTGATCCAGCCACAGAATTCCTCATCTTGGGAACCCTCCAAACACCTTAGTGCAGACTTCTAACATAACGTGTACACCAAGTGTTTTGTTTTGTTTTTTTTCCTCCTGAGCTGAATCAGGCTTGTTCCACGAGTAAGAAGGCATATGGGAAAATTACGTATTTTTTAAAAAACAAATCCCCACTCTTGTAAAACTTTGTCATTGTTCACTTACTCCGTGTCTCCTAACAGTTGTCCCTCAATATCATATATTCATTTCTAAGAAGTCTTTTTGAACAAATTAGAAAACAGGATGTGGCACTCATCACACTTCTGTCTTAAAAACAGAAATCATTGTGTTCATTCCATACAACTTTTGCTTAGAATACATATTATATATATATTATATGTATGTATATATATATATATATATAATATATATACATCTCCACCGTTCCTTTTGTCATTAATACTCTTTCTCATCATTTTCTAACTTCCATTAACTGCTGCAGAGGACAGGGATCATCTTTTAACTCACTTCTTTTTTTTTTTTTTTT